CTGCTTTAGACCTTGCTATATCTTCGCCAATATTAGTACCCAAATGTGAATGGAAAACAATTTCTGATACTATGGGTTCTGATCATCTTCCTATCTTAATAACTATTACAAATAATTTCGATAAACAGAAGGTGTTTCCTTCAAATATTTGGAACGAAAAAAAGGCTAACTGGGTTTCCTTCAAATCATATTTGGACAATATTTTTACTTCTTCATCATCTGAATCCACTTCATTCCCAAATTTCATTGAAGCTGTCACGGCAGCTGCAGATTTATCTATGCCCAGAAACAATCCTTTTACTCCTTCAAGGTTCCTTCCAGCATGGTGGGACTCGTAAGTGTTCCGATTTAGTTGAGAGTAGAAAGATAGCTTTATGCAACTATAGTCACACATCGAATTTTGACAATTTTATTTTTTATAAAAATCTGCAGGCCAAAATTAAGCTGATATTCAAACAAAAAGCACAGAACAGCTGGAAAAAATTTGTTAGTAGTTTAAACAAAAATACTCCAATATCTTTAGTATGGAGGTATATTAAAAGTATTTCAAACAAAAATAAATATAATAAAAAAACTGTTCTGGCTCCAGATCTAATAGAAAAATTATTTGACCATATTGCTCCTCCATTTGTTGATCCAAGTTTTATTCCTCAGCTGGTAAATAATAGGGAATTGGGAAATAAAAATAATCTTTATTCAAAAATAACTTTAACTGAATTAGAATTAGCAATTAAAACCACTTGTAACACAGCTCCTGGAAAAGATAGCTTTTCTTATTCTTTGATTAGAAATTTACCAGACAATTCAAAAAGTGTATTAGTTGAAATTTATAATAAATAGTGGTTACAAGAACTTCTTCCTGAATCTTTTAAAGAAGTGGTAATTATATTTATTATTAAACCAATGAGAAACTCTAGCGATCCATCGTCTTACCGTCCAATTTCTCTGTTATCGTGTTTTGCTAAAACTTTTGAGAGAATTAATAAATGTCGTTTAGAATGGTATTTTGAACATAACTCTCTGTTACCTAGTTCCCAGTACGGATTTCGTCAGTCTACAGGTACTTTAGACGCCTGTACTCAGTTAGTTAATGATATTCAGTATTAATTCTCAAAAAATGAATACACCCCATGTATTTTTTTAGATCTTAAAGGGGCATATGACGCAGTTGATTTGAACATCTTACAAACAAAACTCTCCTATTACGGTTTTGATACAAACGCCTCTGCCAATATTATTGAGTTATTTAGAAACAGAAAAGTATATATCAGAGATCACTATAACCTTCTGCATGGCCCTAGAATTGTCAAGCAGGGTATTCCTCAAGGATCCGTTCTGAGTCCCTTTCTTTTCAATATTTACACGGCAAGCTTGCATGAGATCTTTGATCAACCGATTAAGTGTATTCAGTACGCGGATGATGTATATATTTATACAACCCGTAAGTCTTATCACGATTGTGTTGTAGATCTTAAATATGTCATATATTGCCTTACAAGCTGGTTATTTGATCATGGTTTCTCTTTGACTGCAAATAAATCAGCTGTGATGGTTTATACCCGTCACAAGCTGATAACAGGAGAAGTCCTTAAGTTTAATTCAATATCTCTTCCAATAGTAAGTTCCTTCAAATACTTAGGAATTGTCTTAGACAATAAGCTTACATGGAAAAAACATATTGATTATACTTTATCCAAATGTGAAAGAGGCATTAATATTCTTAAATGTGTCACAAAATTTAAATGGGGTGCAGACACAACAATGTCGTTAATGTTTTATAGATCTTACATCCGATCAATCATCGACTATGGGTGCATATTATATGGATCAGCTGCGAACTCAAGCCTTAAGTTATTAGATTGTATGCAAGTTAAAGCAGTCAAAATATGTCTCGGTGCTTTTAAATCTTCCCCTACTCCAGCGGTTCTTGCGGAAGCACAAGAGCCTCCTCTTCACTTACGAAGACATTTTCTAGCATGCAAAAAGTTAGTTACATTTAAAATGTTTTCGGAAAAAATTCTGAATTCTTCCTTTATCCTGAATATTGAAAACCTAACCAACAAATATTGGAAATTTAAAAATATTTAACCTTTGGCTAAAGCCTGTGTATCTTTAAACCAGTTTTTAAATAAAATTGAGTCTTACAATATTCTTCCTATATACCAGTTTAATTTTTTCTCCTTATTGTTCAAGCCAACAATCTTATTCCCTGAGTTTACTTCTTCCCCTAAAATTAATAACATAATCATAAAATCGGTATTGGGAACGCTAGATACAGTTAATACTATTTTTTGCGATGGGTCTAAAGGAAAACAAGGTAGAGGATGCGCTTTTTATGTGGAAAATGAAAACTTTATCTCCCAATTTCATTTACCAAATTATTCATCTGTTTATACAGCGGAGGCTTTTGCAATTTTACAAGCACTCAATTGAATAAACAGCTATGGAGAAAGCAAATCGGTTATTCTTTCAGACTCGAAATCTGTCTTACTATCAATTTCTAACTATTCCTGTAATATTAACAAAAATTCTATTATAAGAGAAATTATTCAGTCTCTCCTTGCTCTTCATAATTCTAAAATCAAGATCGTTTTTATCTTGGTTAAAAGTCATAAAGGGGTAGTTGGAAATGAAAAAGTCGATTTAGCTGCTAAAGAATCCATTCTTCTTCCAACTATTAGTAATATTCATTCTCCGCAGGATATTATTCATGCAATGAAACAAAATATTAGATTAAGCTAGGAGAAACTTTGGGAACACTTTGTTTCTCATTCAAATAACCCATATACATTTATTCACCCTGTTCTTCCAAAATATATTCCCCACATTACAAATTTTAAAATGTCTAGGTATTATTGTACCACTTTAACAAGGATGAAACTAAATCATGGGGGTTTTCCGTCTCACCTTTCCAGAATTGGTATTAATATATCACCTTTCTGTCAATGCGACAATTCTTCTTTTGCTGATATCAACCATCTCATTTTTTCTTGTAGCCACCATAATTCTCATCTTTCAGATTTTCTTAAAAAACTTTCTTCCCTGAATATCCTTTTTCCATCAAGTATTTCTATTTTATTAAGTTCATTTAATGAGAAAATATATTAATTAATTATTGAATCTTTAATTAAAGAAAATATTAAAATATAAATAAATAAACAAAAAATTATTCGGTTTACAAAAGTCTGTGGCAACAAAAACTACGTTTAGACATCAATTCTCAAAATTGTCTGAACTAAAATGTTGGTAAAGTAGGTATATTATTTGAAATTTTAGCTTGTATTTTACATTGATTTAAGAATTGGTTTTAACGTGCTTGTATTAGGTTATTAATAGAGTATTTGCTTAAATCCTTAAAAAAAATCATATTACATTTTTTTATAATTGTTTAAACTTTTATTTTTAATATTCTCAAAGTTACATTATTTATATTGGCGTCAGCAACTGCTCTGATTTATTATAAAAATGTCTAACAAATCTTAGCTCTTTACCTTGTAAAGATTTCAAATTCATTTGGAACTAAAATTAAATGCAATTAAACTCTCGCCTTAAAAGCAAATCGAACGCCTTGAAAATTTATAATTCCTTCTAGGCCTTTATTTTATAGTCGATTTTTGTAAAATTTTCAGGAAATATCAATAATAACAAAACTTGATACCTTAAATTTTTTGTAAACCTTTGAAAAGTATTTAATTTAAAAAAGTTATAAAGAAATTCCTAAAAAAATTTACACGCTATTCTGTATTATAGCTATATAAATTTGCTGCTATTTATTTTAATAATTATCAAGTAGTTTTTAAATGATATGCTTTCTCACCTTTTTTTCCTAAACATTTCTGCTACCTTATCGTAGCACAAATTGAAAGCTCTCTATATTCTCGAGAAACATAATTCCGCGAAGTAATCTAAGTGGTGCGCTTATATATACATTTTTATATTAGAAAATCGATATGAGATTTTTGTTTTCACGAGACGTCCGGTTTGCTTTTAAAAAGCATCAACAAAAGTCAAAAGGGATAAGATAAATATAACAAAAATACAAAGCACTGAAACTATCTACGCTACGCAAAGGGAACAAAAAAGTTTTGAAAATATTCTCCATTGTAACGTTGCAACAATGTGCAGTTATTTTATACGGTGCTTTTTGAGGAAATTTAAACAATAATAACAATTTTCTTTTAAATGCCCAATTAAATGGATGAATTATTTTCTTGTATAAATAAATACCATTACTGTTTGTTTCTGTGTAATTAGAATTAAAAATTCCAATGTGTTGTTATATTAGATTGATGGTTATTGATACAATTTTCATTGCTTACAAAAACAAAATAGTAATTTTTAATAAATTGAGCTAATTCAATTAACGTATTTGTATGATCCCTCATCCTTAGATAATAAACAATAAGCGCAACAACTTTTACTCTTATTGAACATGTTTCGTTTATTTACTAGGATGCTATACATGTAATTGTTTTTAACATTTTCTTGGGCTATTGTACCGCTACCTTTTGTCGGCTCTTCTAGATGATAATTCTCCTAATTGTCGTCAGTGCCTTCTTTACTTTCTACGTTCAATAAATATTTTTTCTTTGTTTTTTTCAAAGAATAATATTAGAACTGTTAATATTTATTGTATTTTAACCAAAAAGGGTTTATTTATGACGATATCTTTGACGTACATTTACAGATGTTTACTGGATTTAGTTATTACAATAATGATTTTAACATTATTATACCCATCAGTAATTTAAATAATACAGCAATATTCCAAATATAAGAAACCTTACTCTACAGTTTTAAATAAAATAAATTAAAATTTTATGAGAAAATGCTAAAGTAGTAAGTTAAATAATAGATATAAGGTGCACAATTTATTTTAAGCATCCTGTACAAAAAGTGAAGTAACGTGAACGTATAAAATTAAGTATAGCTAATTACGAAGTTTATATTGAGAACAAATTTATTGTAAATCCTATTAAACTTTAATGGCTTCAGTCCCTAATTACATTAGCATTATTATGGAAGAACTTCCAGTTTTAACCATTGTGTTGTTTTAAGTACTCATGTAGGCATCATACGTTGTGAAAACAATACAACAAATTAACTTCAATGAGAAAAATACCTTAACTAAATTAAGTGAAATAACTAAATGTTTTTCTATTGGACGGTGTTCGAGTAAGACATTTTATGTTAATTATTTTAATTACAAATGAATAAATAATAAAATTTCTTAAAATGCATAAGTACCTACTACAGTGATTTTTTATAATTAATCCTACAATATTAACCCATGAGTTATTTGAATTTTTTATAACGCACTGCATTTTATTAAGTTTACTGAACGATAATAGATTTAATTTTTTTTTAGTTATATCATAAACTGTTTTTATATATTGTATTAAATAAAAAACCAGGCACCTCATGTAAAATGGCTTCATTGTTTTATGTTTTTGAGAAGGTAATAATACCTATATAATGTAAACTCAAATGTAACTAAGACAAAAAATATATAAAAAAAGAATAACCTTAATACCATGGATCACCGTCTTTCTTCGAAAAACAACATTGAATTATTTTCTATCTTTCTTTCTCTACTGTTTTTCTTTGAATATAATAATTCAATACATTATGGACATGATACAAAAATTTTACATTTTTTGTAAAATCAAATTTTAATTTCAAATAAAAATTATACCTAGTATCAAAAACGGCTTTAGTAAATAAGGATTAATCAAGGATACACGTGAAATTTTAATTATTAGGTGGCTTGGAGATAGTTTCTTATTTCGGACAACTTTTAACTAGATAAGACAAGAATAAAATAAAAGATTTTTTTTTAATCTGTCATTTGACGACGTGACTAAATTACTAATATATTTTTAAGCGTAGAACTAAAAATGAAACCTACATACTGCGGGGATCCGCTAATTTTCTGTGAAGATTCGCTATTTCAGTCCTTAATTTTATACCCAAAATGTAATTAATAGGATCGATTTCTTTGCTGACTTTTTTATTTTTTGTAGTTAAGATAAACAAGTAACACAGGATGATAAAAATTGACAAAAAGTAAATAATAAATATTAAGTATAACTAATCAAGAGTTAGTGAGTACGCCACAAATACTCCCCCTCAAAAGAAAATAAAAAGTACTAATTAATTGCAAATCGAACCTGTTTCTGTTTTGATCCATCAGAGACCTCATTTTTATTTTCATTAAAAATATAAGCAGGTTTAGTACGATTCAGGTGAATAGGTATCAAATTATTGTTTTGTTTGATATAAACGTGATTTTCTGAGCGTTTTTCAACTTTGTATGGACCTTCATAAGGAGTTGTTAAACTAGCTCTTTTCCCGGGTGCTTGAATGAAAATATAATCGCACGTTTTTAGATCTACAGGTACAAAAGGTTCTTTAGAAATATGACTGCGTGTAGGCAACGGTTTTAATTTTTGAAATTGTTCAAAAATTTGTGTTACGGTTGATGATGTGTCTAAATTTTCATGTGCATTGGATGTAACAAAAAATTCACCTGGCAGACGTAATGCTTGTCCATAAACTAATTCCGCTGATGAATACCCTAAATCTTCTTTTACCGCATTACGTAAACCTAACAATACTACAGGCAATTTTTCGAGCCATTTATCGGTATTACCTCTTGCCATTAATGTTGCTTTAAGATTTCTGTGAAACCTTTCAACCATCCCATTACTTTGAGGGTGGTATGTAGAAGTGTGAATTTTGTGAGCACCTAAGAAATTAATAAGCTGACTTGTTACTCTAGATTCAAATTGAGTACCTTGATCGGTGGTTATGGTTAAAGGCATTCCGAATCTACAAATATATTGAGTAAACAATGTTTTGGCAACAGTTGTGGCTGTTATGTCTCTAATAGGGAAAGCTTCTGGCCACCTTGTAAAACGATCAATAAGTGTTAGGATATAACGATAACCACCTGAAGGTTTTAGTGGACCAACTAAGTCAATGTGTATATGTTCAAATCTACATTTAGGGATTGCAAAGCTAGAAGTTTCAGTTTTTGTGTGCTTGTTTATTTTTGACATTTGACATCCTAGACAACTTTAAGTCCAAGATGTGATATCAGTGTTCATACGTGGCCAAAAATATCGAGCACCTATCATTTTTCGGGATGCTCGTATACCTGGGTGCGATATGCCGTGTATTTTATTAAATACAGTGCAGCGTAATTCTTCAGGTATGTACGGCCTAAGGTTTGTTTGAGAAACTTCACACCAAATCTTTGTGTTCGAATTTAAAAAAGGAATTTGAATTTCTCTTAAAATGAATTTGGTGTTTGAGTTTTGTTTTTTAAGGTTTTGTAGCTCTATGTTATTTTTTTGAAATTTTTGCAATGTTGTTACGTCTAACGCAAAATCAGAACTTTCAAAATCGTTTACGAAAATTTCGTTACAAGAGAGCGCGTCCGCTACCACGTTGGACTTGTCGCGAACATGTCTAATGTCATTTGTGAATTGTAAAATATATTCCATGTGTCTAATTTGTCTTGGTGAGCGGTCGGTTTTTGAAAATAGAGCTGTTGTTAATGGTTTGTGATCGGTAAAGCACACAAAATATCTACCTTCAAGCATATATCTAAAATGACGAATCGCAGCGTAAAGTGCATAGAGTTCTCGGTCAAAAGTTGAATAGCGTTTTTCTGCTTCGGTTAGTTTTTTAGAAAAGAAGGCCAAAGGTTCTACAACATGGGTGTCTCTGTTATGCTGTTCTAGACATGCTCCCACAGCGAGTGTCGAGGCATCTACAGTTAATAACGGTTCCATGACAAAACAGAACTTGACAAAACAGAACAGGACAAAACAGAACATGACAAAACAGAACTTGACAAAACAGAGCACAGACAAAACAGAACACGGACAAAACAGAACACAGACAAAACAGAACACAGACAAAACAGAACAAGGAAAAAACAGAACACAGACGTAACAGAACACATACATAACAGAACACAGACATAACAGAACACAGACATAACAGAACACAGACATGAGAAATGTCCGAAAACTACAAACTGTTGCGAAGGTTTTCATAATGTCTTAAATTCAATCATTCACTGCAGTCATCCCAGCATTTGGAATTTATTAGATGGTTTAAGACAAGATATAGCTTTCCAGCGGCTTTTGTTAGCTAATACTAATGTAGGTCGCTTGGAAACGAAAAATAAAAAATATGAAACACTAATTAACAGTAATTAAGTAGCAATATTAGTACAGGGCTATCAACATGAAAATAAGTTGGAAATTCTACGCCGAATGGCCAATCTCCAATAATATAAAAAGTATAATATACAGGGTGTTAAAAAAAAGTGTCACAAAATAAAACGGGGGGTAGTATGGGCCAAAATATGCAGAAAAGTCTTAATAAACATATGTCCGCAAATGAATGGTTTCAGAGATACGGAGTGTTTTGTGTTTTGTATCATTTTTTGATTATCTTTTTTCATTCTCAAAAACTTGTTTTTCTTATCGGAGTCTACCGATGTTTTTTCATAGATACTATTTGCAGTTATTATTTTGTTGTGGGTGAATAATTTTATAAATTTTCGTTATGCCTGTTTACACTAATATTGAATTAGCTGACATGCATTTTATGTACGGTCGTGCAAATGGCAATGCATTGAAATGGAGGGAGGGCACTTTGAACATCTCATTTAACTCTATGTTGTTATTGATTGTTTATAAATATCATTGTTTTTTTTTATAATAATAAAAAAATGTTATAAACACAAAATGGTCCGTATCTCCGAAACCGTTAATTTGCGGTCATATATTTTTTAAGACTTTTCTGCTTATTTTGGGTCATACTATTCACCATTTCATTTTGTGACACTTTTTTTTTAACACCCTGTATAAAGTAATATAATTTTTTATTTAATTATTAAACTAATTATTTAGGTACCAAAAATGTTTCATTACTCCTTTTTTGTTTTTCTTATAACATTAAAAAAAAAAGAAAAAACTAGAAAAAAAAATTAGTCAAAAAAATAAATACGGTATCTTTTAATCATGAAATTTTTCCGAATTTTTCTTATTTTTAACTATTCTTTAATTTTTAGCATATCTGTAAGAATTATACAAACAACTCCTACACAATTTAACCAAAACACAAGAAAGTAAATCCCAATAATATTGTTGTTTAATTATCGTATTTAAAATATTTACCCTAAGTACAAAGAATTAACCCATTAAACGCATTTAAATATATGTATACTGATAGGAGGCGAAACTTTTTGTTAGAGAATTTCGAGAAATACTTACCTAGTTATTATATACTATGTTCTGTTTTGTTTGTGTTCTGTTTTGTCCGTGTTCGTGTTCTGTTATGTCTGTGTTCTGTTATGTCTGTGTTCTGTTTTGTCCTTGTTCTGTTTTGTCTGTGTTCTGTTTTGTCCGTTTTCTGTTTTGTCTGTGTTCTGTTTTGTCAAGTTCTGTTTTGTCATGTTCTGTTTTGTCCTGTTCTGTTTTGTCAAGTTCTGTTCTGTCTAATCACCGTTAATAACAGTTGAGCGTTTTCCTTATAATGTGAAAGTAAAGTGACATTTGCTAAATCATTTTTGATTTTATTAAAGCTGTTTTCACAGTCTTGAGACCACTCAGAAAATTTTTATTTTTTTGTGTTTGCAAATTTGTGATAAAAGCGTGTAATGGAACCAAATAATCTGCAAGTTTTGGCAAAAAGCGATGATAAAAATTTATCATACCTACAAAACGTTGCAATTGTTTAATATTTTGTGGTGTAGGAAAGTTTCGAATTATTTCTATTCTATCTTCGGAAGGTAAAATTCCATGATGAGTAATATGATGGCTTAAGAAATTAATTTCAGACACGCCAAATTCACATTTTGATGGTTTAATGTTAATACCTTATGATTTTAGTCTTTGAAAAACTAATTTTAAGTGTTCTAAATGTTGTTGTTGGTCTGTACTCGCTACTAGTATGTCGTCTAAATATGAAAATGTAAAGTCTAAACCGCCAAGTACTTCATGTATGAAACGCTGAAAAGTTTGGGCCGCATTTCTTAATCCGAAAGGCATACGAGAAAATTCAAAGAGTCCAAAAGGGGTTGTCACCGCAGTTTTATAGATATCTTCTTCTGCAATTGGTATTATGTGATAAGCCCTTACTAAGTCTATTTTTGA